ACCGTCATTTTTATTTCATTACTTGAGCAATGTTGATCGAAGTAAGAAGTCATATATTATTTATCACGGGTATATTACTATTGGTTGGAATTACATATACAAATGCATCAAAACAAGCACAAGATAAAGCAGATAAATTAATACAATTTATTTGTGAAAAATTATATGATGATGATTTATATTCAGAAGAAAACCAACGATGGTTAAGTCTTTGTGAGAAATGGATTAAATCAATGAATCATCAACAACAGAATGATTTACAAAATGAAAATATGATAGATGGTAAGTATATAGAACGGATCAATAAAATCCTATATTGAAAATGTCGAGAGACAAGGGCAGTATGCCTTATATAAGTACTGATTGTCAAAAGTAGTAAGAATAGGCATCTGTATTTTAGAATAAAATCACTGCTTTATCGTATAGAAGAAACTGACTCTAATTCTTTTTTTAGAATCATCCATGAAAGAAAAATATCAGCCACGAAAATTTAGCTTCAGATCTGGATTTCGTAGTAGTAGTAGTTCTCGTATTTCATCCAGTAGTAGCCGAAGTAGTAGTAGTAGAAGCAACAGTATTCGCACAAGTGGAAGTCGAACATCTTCCATTGGTACACGATTTCGTAGTATACGTACTGGTGCAACCATTTCTCGTCCAACTGGTTGGTTATGGAGTCGAACACGACATATTTTTCTTCCAGTATCTCGATACTATTATTATCGATCTCGTCCTTCTAATAATCGATACACGACACCAGCTACTGGAAATGAAACTTATTATTATTGTACATCAAATACGAGTGCTGCTATAGAAATTCAATGTAGTTCTATTAATGGTGATGGACAATGTTGTGAAGATGAAACAATTTCACAAGTATTTTGTTGTGGTGGTAAAATTGACGATGATCTTGTAGACGATTTTAATCAAGCGACACAAATTATAGCACGAATCTTTTATACTCTAACAGCGATAGCATTATTTATGCATATATTTATGAGACGCTTTTATCGATAATTTTTTTTCAAGCTGTCGGTGTTTGTTTTCATATCAGAATTTTTATTATGAATCACTATTTCAAACACAATGAATAGAATTTTTAATATGGTATTACATAATTCTATAATAGAGCAACAACTTTTTTTTTCTCATGATAGAAGTTTTAGATACCATTTATTTTGAAGTGATGAATCAATAGAAGACTCTTTAACAAAAATATGTATAAGACTATACTAATATCTGTTGATTTCTTATTTTGAATTGCATACGAAGTCTTTGAGTTAAAATTTGAATGATTTCAATCTCACCATACATGTGATAATAACAAGACAAATCTGTGCATCACAGCGTATAATATTGTAAAATGTTGTGTAAAATGATAATTAAAATGAAAACTTAAATTGTAATCAAGAACTTGGAGGACGTGTATGCGAGTCTGAACATTTATTTTGTGCTATTTTGACAAATCGCCATATCCCACATCGACACTCACAGCCTGTTTTGAAGGTACTTGTATATGTTATTTGAAGAAAATCTCATTTTAAACATTTTTCTAGGTAATCTGTTTCATCTCTACAGAAACTAAAGAGTATCACCTATGTAAAAAAAACAATTATAGATATGGCAAAGAAGTCTATTTTTAATTGATTACAGTCATACAATTTTTATTTATAATTAACGAATAACAAATCCATTATTATAAAAAAAAAGAACAATTACAGATATCATAATTTTATTGATTATTTTTATTCGTTTTGATCATAACCGACTTTGAATTGTGTAATAAGTCCTGGGTAATCAATCGATTTCGTGTGATTATAGGTAGTAGAATTATACTCCAGTTTTGTTTGTTTTACATTGTTTGTAAGTAATTTCTGTATGATTATTAACTCATTGGCTACGGGTTCTTGATATCGAATAAGGAAAATCTCGAAATACCCAATGTCGAATAAAATAGGATTTCGAATAATTAAAGGTGCAAGTGTGGGTGTCGATCTGAAATTTATTTTACTCACACGCTCAGGTTACTCATATCCCTATTTCACATATCTTTTCGCATCCACATCCTCTCTGATTTATTATCTATCATCAGTTGTATTTATTGCTATTTTAGTGATAAGAAAAGAGATTGATGACTAACTTTTGTTCATGTATTCATTGTAAAATATCTCAAAACGAAAGATGTCTTCAACTCAGAAATATTGTTTTTACGATGTTCATATTGCACCTAAACGAAAACTCTTATCATCTCCGGACTTCGAAGTTTCTATCAACGTTCGAGCGGATTTCTAGGAACTTGCGGCTCTTTGAATCATCGAATCACAAAGTAAACTCTATTGGCCATTATCAAGATAGTTTAGTATGAATATTGGACATGCACACGATGGATTACATAAATACTAGATTTCAGAACGGCATTAAAAATAAATTTTACAGAAGAATATAATAATAGAGAAAAAATATTTATGCCATTTAATGGAAGTTTTTGAGTAGATAAACACAAATAGCTTTAATATAAATTTTTAATGATCGATGTGAAACAAACTTAATTGATATAAAAAAATTTAAAATACTTCAAAAATAATCTACAATCAGACAACACAGAACAATTAAAGAAGACAAAAACAAATATTTTCTCGAAAAATAATTAATGCGACAAAAAAAAACTCACAAGAAAATTCAATGAATAATACGAAAATGATTTTAATAATTTAAGACACATTCAAATAATAACTAATCCAAGTTAAATAAATTCTACATTTTATTTTATTTTTTATTCGAACATGAGCGACATGACATATACAAATGACATTACTTCTTTGTATTGGTCTTTTCTTACCAACAAATAGTTGAGCGTATCTCACCGAGGAAACAAAAGAAAATATCTCTATTGATTGGCTTTATTATTTTTAAATATAATGATGAATTTAATGCGTGCAATTTTGATTAGAGAATTTGGTATATATTAATCTAGGTTCGACATAATTAATCAAATTTTTTTTCTACAGGTGATGCCAGTGTATGTAAATTAGTAAGAGATGTACCAATTCCTGATATACAACCTCGAGAAGTATATTAAAAATAGTAAAATTGAATTTATTCGTCATTTAAATATTTATTTAGGTCTTAATTCGTGTACATGCTGCTGGTGTCAATCCAGTGGATACATATATTCGATCGGGTACATACAGTCGTCGACCTAATTTACCATATATTCCAGGACTTGATTCAGCTGGTGTTATCGAACGAGTTGGTGCTGATGTTACTAAATTTAAGGTAGAAATCTTGTAAATATTTCATATCTTGAATAAATACATCTATTATTTAAAAAATAGTTTTACTATCTTATGAAGTCTCTTAAAAAAAAAGTTAATTTTCGTGAGAAACATAAAATTGAGATAAATGTATGAAAAGATAACCAGAGGTGTGATCTTTCATTTAGCACCTCGTCTTTTTCTGTTTGTTGTTTTGATCGCACATCTCAGAATTTTCGAAGAAGTTTAATTGTAGTCATTGGCGTTTTTTTAAACAAAACTTCGTTACTACTATATCAAAGAGTAATTTTGTAATTATAGCCCCATTTTTGGAGACATTAAACTCTTAACAATAATCAAGTACATAAAATGAAGGCTCTTATAGTCTTTCGGATTACCAAATGAACTATTTTGGATTCCTGCTAGTTGAATATCTCCTAAGAACATCATAATATAAGGCTAAGATGTTCATACAATATAGAAGATACCTAAGTCAAGATCGATTTTGAGAATTTTACTTATTATACTTGGGTAGTTAAGAAAATGTTAATAATAATTAATTTATATAGTTTGTCTGTAGCAAAATAGTTCCATTTACATGGATTAATCACAATACTAAAACTAAAGATAGTGGGTCTTATTTTATGCCTGAATAAATCCCTAAGAAGTAATGATAGAGAATTATTTCGTGAAAATATTTCTTCAAGTTTAATACAATGACAGAAATTTTTCTCAACTACAATCCATGAACGTATGTTTAGAAATAGTGTAACATGAGGTTTTATTAAGAATCTATTTTGTTTTTGGTATCTATATCAAATATCTTTATGTTATTTATTTAGGTTGGCGATCGAGTTTTTACAGTAAATACAATAACAGGCACATATGCTGAATATTGTGTTGCGCGTGCTGATTTTGTCTTTTCTTTACCAGCGAATGTTTCATATGAACAAGGTTCAGCTCTTGGTGTACCCTATTTTACTGCTTATCGAGCACTTATTATAAAGTAAGAAAATGTTTAGATTGTTTTTTTTTTGCTTTTATTAGAATCAGAAATTTTATGTTTATTTGAATTTTGGTGCACTTCGATCATTAGTAACAGTCTTTTTTAATGTTTTTCCAAGACGAATATTTTCTAAAAGGGCTGAACGATCACCTGAACCATCGGATGATGGAGGAGGCGGTGGCGGCGGAGGAGGAGGAGGAATTGATTGTACTGATGGTGGCGGTGGTGGTGATGAGGGTAGTGCTGAAGGTTTAGAACTTGTTGTTGTCGATGAGTTAGTTGTTGATGGAGGAATCGTTGATGTATAACTTAAATTAATAATTGATGTTTCCATTTGTTTTGGTGCAATTGAATTTTTTCGTTTTTCTATTGTTGATGTTTTCATAGTTGAATTTCGTTTCTTTCGCATTGTACTTGTCCATTGTTCGAGTAAAATTTTAACATCATTAGAATATTCACCTGGTATTGATGTAAAATTTTGTAATTCTTTAAGAATTATCTTATTATTTGAAAAATAAGGTAATTGTCGAATTTCAGTTAAAGTTAAAACAGGTTGTGCTATATCAAATAGACGTGTTAACATTTGTCGTACATTAGGATCTCTTCCACAATCATGCCAATGTTTTGGTGTTAAACCACGTAATTGTTCACCTAATTCATATCCAGTTAACATTTCAAATACAAGTCCACCAAAACAAAATACTTCACATGCTTGTGCTCGTGTCATACCATCAGGAAGTATTAATGATGATGTTGCACGTTTAACCAATGAATAAATACGTGAACGTTGTTCTAAAAATTGATATTCATATGAACCTATTTGAATACATGAACCTGATACAACAATATTTCCACTATGTAAATCTACAAGAGGTGGCATTGATTTTGATTGAAGAAAAAGAAGACCTTCAAGTAATTGACGAGAATAGAGACGAACACGTTCAAGTGATAAACCTGAACTTCGATGAGAATATTTACCCTAGAAAAACAAAAAGAAAGAATTTATATACAAAAAGAAAAATCTGAAAAACAAAATACATGAAAATTAGCTGTTGGTACAACACCATGTAATAAATCTTTTAATGAACCTAAACGTTGATATTGTTTAACAGTCACAACTAATTTTTGTGTATATAAAATATCAATTCTTATCATTGGTTCAATATATGGATGATATAAACGACTAAAAAGATTATTTAATGTTCGAGAATACGTTGTAATACTTTCTTCATCATTTAAATGATTTAATCGATCAGATTTTGGTTGAATTGTTAAAAGATGAGATGCAGTATTTAATGACATTGTACTTGTTTTTGATATTGGTGTTATAAGAAACCAACTTTTTTCTGGATTAGAACCAAGTTGTGACAATTGAGAATGAAATATATATTCACCTGTTGTTCGAATATAAAAATGACATGTTAATAATGCAGCATTTTCTTGTGCTTGTGCACGTTCGATACGTGGTTGAGAAAGACGATAAAGTAATGGTGTTTCATCTGATGGTGAAGGATTTTGTAAATGATCATATTGACGTCGTTTTCTTAAATACCAACAAGTAATAAATGCAATTATAATACCAAGTAAAATAACCGAAATAGTTATAAGAGCAATTAACATAGAATCATGGTCATTCATGATATGATGTTTAGATGTTATAATGATAAAAATAACAAAATAGTTAAAGATAAGAATAAGAACCAAACAAAACACATTTGTCATCATTTATTTGCATTTATCTTTTTCTTTTTCTTATA